ACACATACACACACTTCTCAGCATGAATCACCAATCAACTAATTCTGCTATAGAAATAATACAAACAAAATAAACTTTTTATATTTGGCATAAAGTAAGAGAATAAGAGAACCAAAAGACAAAAAGAGCTAATTAGTTAAAATAAGTTTAAATTTAAAAATAAATTGTTAGAAGACAAATTATAGAGGTTATCAGCTTCTTAGTCATAGTAAACAAAATATTTTTACATTATTTGGGGTCTTAGCAAACTTTACATATATGTTTGTTGATAATAGTCTGCAATTGATAATTGTCCTGCAAGGCAGGACAAGAAGCAACTGATGGAAATTAATCAAAGAGAGAAGCAACCTAGAACTAAGGAGAAATTTCCTGACAGTTAGAACAATTAATCAGTGGAACAACCTGTCTCCAGAAGTTCTGAGTACTCCAACACTGGAAGTTTTTAAGAAGAGACTGGACAGCCATTTGTTGGAAATGGTATAGGGCAGGGGTGTTAAACTGCCAGCCTGCAGGCCAGTTGCATCATGCAGAGGCCGCGCCCACCCCATCTCTGGCAATGCAAAAAAAATTGTGATATGTCACGAGAAAGTCATGTGACACGGCGAGTTTGACCTCCATGATATAGGGTTTCCTACTTGAGCAGTGGGTTGGACTAGAAGACCTCCAAGGTCCCTTCCAACATTATTATTATTATTGTTGTTGTTGTTATTTCTGCTCTTATTTGGTTAGGTTATTTATAGTGTTTTATGTACTATATGTAGAATGTTGAGATGCTTATATTTATGAGTAGTTTATACAATATATAATTGAAGACAACAAAAAAATATAGTAATGAATACTTCCAGTTTTTTTTTCTAGTGTGGATATTTATTCAATAATCTGTGGTCTGAGGAGGCCATAAATTTACTCATTACAGTTACAATGAGGGTAATTAGTAGTCCTAAATTAGGGGAAAGATTTGAGGTTGTATCTCTTGGGTCCATTATGAGAAAATTGATATCCTGGGTTACTGATTGTATAATGTCTGGTTCCCCAGCCATGAATTTATCCCAGTCAGAGATTGTACATTCTAGAGCAGGGGTGTCAAGCTTCCAATGTCACGTGATGTGTCGCAACGTATCATGACTTTTTTGCCATTGCCGGCAATGGGGTGGGCGCGCTTTCGCTATGATGCATCCGGCCCACAGGCCGGCAGTTTGACACCCCTGTTCTAGAGCATACTTACTGTAATGTCAGGCATGAAAGACCAGGTTCACATGTGAAGGTTCAATTAAACTGATTTATTGCTAAAGCCTATGCACAGGAATCTTTTCAAAAGTCCATATCTGGTTAGAGTTACGTAAATAAGGGCCAACAGCACACTTGTGGCTACCTAACAATTCTAGGCTGATTTCCCCCTATTCACTGCATAAAGCAGGCCTACTGAACCGAGCAGGCCCGCTTGGAGACTGCAGATAAAAGAACTAGGAGCACACCTTAGTAGATAGAAGCTCCATCTGCTCACCAGTGGCCTTGCCCATATGGGGGATAATTGGCTGCCAGATGTGGTGATTTCCTCCCTGGCACCTCTTTGGCCACACCTCTTTATACTCTTTGAGTCATTTGGCTATTATTTCCCCACATGCCACTTGCACAGTATTTAGTTTAGTGAACT